GGGGAGATGCTCGGCCGTCACTTTTCTGCCACTGCAGCACTCGAGCTCCCGGTCAGATTTTCGGCAGCCGTGGCACGGATCCCACAGCCCCGGCCCCACAGTGTTCCTCTGAGCCCCCATCATGGCGGGGAGACCGTCTTCAGGTTCAGCTATGGAGAAGACAAACTTGGAGCATCGCAGGAGCCGGTGTCTGGGAAGTGCCAATCCCGTGTGATCACCTGCGAACAGCGCAGCCGGCAGCGCTGCCTGTCCGGGGGACCCGGCTGCTCCTGCCTGTCCCCGCCAGCAGAACCCTCTTGTCCCCACTCATGGCAACACATAAATCGCATCTTTTGGAAACAGCACGCATTTCCCTGGGCTTGTCTCACCCGCTGCCTTCAGCTTATCCCAGCCCATGTGTAAATGCATCAGCGTCTGTTCAACCCCTGCAGCCCGTGCCGGGACCCCTCGGGCAGCTGATGCGCGGGCTGGGTGAAGCCGTCCCCGCAAGCGTCCCTGGCACGGCAGGTGCCTGTGAAGCTGGAAGCTGTCACTTAGCATCACCGTGGCCCTCGTCCTGCTGGCACAGCCTTTTCTTCCGCATCCTTCTGCTTTCCCACCGCTTCCCAATACACGCTGTAATTGGGAAACGGTGCCGAGGCGGCTGGAGCCATCACGGCACCATTGCTTACGGGGCTGAGATGCTGATCCTGGGGGGCTTTGCCCTGGCTGGGCGGCGATGGAAGCTCAGGGGCACCAGAAGGAGCACGGGGCATTTGCAAAGACTTCCCAAGACAGCAGCACATGAAGAGGCAACTTTTCCAGGCCTCCCGGGATGTGGAGCCTTCCTCACCCTCCATCACCCCTTTATTACTTTAATAAAGTGCCAGAGGTGAGCGTCACAGGGGGGAGCCAGGGTCAGGCTGGGCAATTACGCAGCTGCTGCCCGGCGCTGCCGCGAGGCTCAGGTCAGCCCAGGGGTGTTGCTGCAATTAAAGTCAGCGCTGAGCGCAGGACGTGGATGTTCCCCTTGGTGCTGGTGAGCATCAACCTGGACTCGCGCCCCAGGCGGCTGCAAACATGGCCCCGCTGCTGGGACCGAGGCCGGGACAAAATGGACTTGGGGGTGTGCTGGGGGCTCCCCGGCCCTTCACTCCTACGTTTCTTTGCCTTCGTGTCACCCTGCCCTGCCCAGACACCGATCCTGGCTGCCCTCTCTGCTTTTTGACTATGCAAAATAGGCAGCAAACAGCCCCAGAGCTGCCCCGGGTTGGATGTGGCCATCGCGGGGAGGAGAGGTGTTGGTCCGGCGAGGGCTGAGCCTTGCTCAGCCTTCCCGATGAAGGGGATGGGGAATGACCAGGGACCCTGTCTCTGGCAAGGGGACAGGGTGACACTGCAGATCATGCCATGGGGATGGGGAGGTGCTGAGCAGCAGCCGGTGAGTGATCCTGGCTGGGTTTCTCCCTGATGGGGCATCAGGGCGGCTCTTCCCCCTGCCCCACTCCCCGTGGCCTCTAAGCTATCCATGAAGGCTAAGCCTTAGCTCAGCAGCTCCCAATCTCCTGAGTCAAAATTGATTCAGCTGCTGCCATTGCTTCCACACACCCACCCACATGCAAATTAGCCCAAATGTCAGGAGTAGTTGCTCCAGAGGAGGAGGAGGAGGAGGAAGGGAGGGAGGGAAATTTCTCAGGCTCTGCACCGTGGTGCTCAGCTGTGCCACGGCTTACCTGGAGCCTGGGTGAGTCGGTGCCTCAGGGACCCCTCCGTGTCCCCAGCCCCACGGGAGGTGGCTGAGACACCCCACCACCACCACCCTGGGGGGCTAGAAGTATGTTTGGGAGCCTGTGCTACAGAGCAGCCCCAAGAAACAGGAGCCTGGACCGAGCACCCTCGGCCCTGCTCTGGATGCGCCCATCTCTGGAACGCCGGGATTCGGCACCTGGTTTGGCTCCTCTGCCCTGGGTGAGTCACGGCAGAGCCGTGGTGCTGCCTGGCTGTGGTGCCGCAGGCAGCACCGTGCCGGCCCGGCTGCCGGAGCCCACGATGCTGCTGGGTGTAAAATCATTCGCTTCGCCCCCTCCCCAGCCCAGCCGGAGCCCTCCTGGCTGCAGCAGCTTTAAATAAGCCTCTGAGTGTCTTGCTAATCACCTTGGGCTGCTCTTCAGGCAGTGCTCGAGCACGGCTGGGGCTGGCAGAGGCTGGGCAGACTGGGCATGGGTTTTGCAGGGACCCTCCCCACCCGGGGGAGCCACTGGAGTCCCCCATTTTCCCTCTGTGAGCCCCCCAGGAGCTTGGGGTACCCAGGACTGCGCTGTGCCTCAGTTTCCCCACCAGAGCTGCTGGTACCAACCTGTGCACGACAGGTCGCTCCCACCTGGGGTGGGCTCTG